CCCAGTGGATTCGTGCCCGTACAGCTGTGGTTGTTGTACCCTCTCTCAGGTCTGCACCATAACACTTTTCTTGGGGCTCTTTCTGATCTCTTCTATGAGCTTATAGAGAAAAACCTATAAGAGGGCACAAACTCCCAATTTCTTTGGTCCTCTAGTAGCTCACTAGCCCGCATCTGGCCTTTACCAACTCATTAACCATCCTAACTGAACTATTACAAGTGTCTTGTTGCACCTACCCCAGGTAAGAGACCCTACTCTGCTTATCGTCCTGGTGCCTACCTCTCCTTAGATTCTTGGCCAGTAGGTTGTCCTGGGACTACAGTGCTCTGATTGGTTTAGAAATATTGTAGATTGTAGTTTATCTAGTCTTTCCTTTGAGAGGGTGAGTTTATTTTTTTTTTTAATACTTACCTACATCCCCTAGTGGAAGTCAGATTTGTATTTCTACTATATATTTTTTTAAAGATTTATTTATTTATTTGAGAGAGAGAATGAGATAGAGAGAGCATGAGAGGGGGGAGGGTCAGAGGGAGAAGCAGACTCCCCGCTGAGCAGGGAGCCCGATGCGGGACTCGATCCCGGTACTCCAGGATCATGACCTGAGCCGAAGGCAGTCGCTTAACCAACTGAGCCACCCAGGCGCCCTCTACTATATTTGCAGCTATTACTAAACCATATATAAAAGAATATAAATGGTATGCTGCCTGTGTTCTTATGCAGTTTTGCTTTCCATTCAACATTATATTTGTGGAGTTCAGAAACAAAGGACAGATTATTACAGCGATAGCAATATCCAGAGGATCACCATTTGTACTGCTTCCCCTTGCCCCCAAGTCCCATGGGTGGATTGAGGTGGATGCCTGCATATGGAATGGGTTGCATTATAGGAGAGGGACCCTGAGGTTAGGAAACCTGGAACTGTTATAGCGGGCAGTAGCATCCCCTGCGTTAAAGGAGGTATTGCCTTTATTATAATAGACAAGATGCATGACTTCCCTTGGTTCCAAAGGAAGACATTATATCTACAAGCCAGAGTTGATCAGCGTTGCCACTGTGGACAGTTGGGGTTGGATACTTCTTAGTTGTGGGGACCTGCCCTGTGCATTATAGGGTGTTTAGTAGCATCCCTGGCTTTTGCCCACTGCATGCCAGTAGTACCTCTTCTCCCAGTTGTGTCCACTAAATATGTCTCTAGACATTGTCAAATATCTTCGGTGGGCAAAACCGCCCCAATTTTAGAACTACTATGGTAAGCAAACTTACCCTTGGCTCCAAAGGGAGTCTTGCAAAGTTCGCTTTACAATCTTTAAAAGATAGTCTAGAACAAAGAGCAGTCAGTGCCTCCTTTTACAAGATTTGTGGAAATGCATGTTATCCATGGACCATTGTCTCCCAACATTGGTTTTAACTTAATTGCATTGTGGTTAGAGGAATGCTGTGTATGCCATTGATTCTTTGATTTGTTGAGACTTGTTCATGGCCCATCTGTGGTTGGTTTTTGTAATTGTCTTAATTGTGCTTGAAGACAGTGTGTTTTCTCTGTTAGGTGCAAAGTTTGGTATGTGTTGATCAGGTCAGGATCATGACATTTCCATACAGATCTTTTATGTCTGTATAACTTTTGTCTGAGCTGCTAATTACTAAGAGAGGTATATAAGTCCTTTCTGTTGGTGAATTTGTCCATTTTCCCTTGTAATTGCTAATTTTGTATTATATATTTTGAGGCTATATTAGGTACGTCCCCCAATTTGAGAGCTAGAACGTTGTAATTTGCTTTTAGGTATTTATGAGCTCTTTCCCATCCTGGGCTTCTGCCTCCCTCAACTGGGGTAGCTACTGGTCCTGTCCTGCTCTTTTTATTTTTTCCTTAATTTTTTTTATATTCCCTATTTTCCCTATTTGTTGCTTTGTGAGTTATATTCGAATTATATTCTTTAGGTGATTTCCTTTAAATTCTTAATACACATACTTAAGAAAATCCCATATTTATCCCTAAATCTACTCTCCTGGGGCGCCTGGGTGGGCAGTCAGTTAAGCATCTGCCTTCAGCTCAGGTCATGATCCCAGGGTCCTGGGATTGAGCCCCAAGTTGTCGTCGTCATCGTCATCATCAGGCTCTGTGCTCAGTGGGGAGCCTATTTTTCCCTCTCCCCCTGCTTGTGTCTCTCTGTCAAATAAATAAATATTAAAAAAAAAAAAACTCTCCTCTCAATAATACAGACAGCTTGGAATGCTTTAACTCCAGCCACCGCTTCTCAGCTGATATTCTTGTTTTGTTGATTCCCTCATGCAAACACTATTAATATATTATTGTTTTATACAGTGTTTAAATTCACCCACTTTTTCTTTTTTTTTTTTTGCCAGTGATTCTGCATCTCATTCCTTCCTTGTGTGATCATTTTCCTTCTTCCAAGTAATTCCTTTAGTCAACAATTCTCAGTTGACAGTTGATTTTCTCAGTATTTTGAAGATAATAGCTCTGGCTTCCGTTGTTACTAATGAGAGCCCTGCTATTGGTCCAATTTCCAGTCATCATTCTTTTATAAGTAATTGGTCTTTTTTCTTTGGCTATTCTTTTTTTTTTTTTTTTAAAGATTTTTTTTATTTGACAGAGACACAGTGAGAGAGGGAACACAGGAAGGGGGGAATGGGAGAGGGAGAAGCGGGCCTCCTGCTGAGCAGGGAGCCCAATGCGGGGCTCGATGCGGGGCTCGATCCCAGGACCCTGGGATCATGACCTGAGCTGAAGGCAGACGCTTAACGACTGAGCCATCCAGGTGCCCTCTTTGGCTGTTCTTAAGATCTCCTTTATGTCTTGGACTTACTCAACTTTACTAAAACACACCTATATGTAGATTTGGGGGGGGCTTGTTGTGACCCTTAAACCTATAAAACCACATTTTTCATCAATTTGAGAGGATTTTAAGCTATTATTTTGAAATATGCAAGCTGTGTTGCATTCTAAACATTAAAAAAGTAAGTAAATAATGAAAGCAGTTTGGTGGGGAGAGGTGGGTTGTGTCTGCAGTGTCTTTCTACAGAGTAGAAGGCCTTCCTGAATCTGCTGTGAGTTATTACAAATACCATCTAGAGGTAAACCAGACACTGGGAGGCATGCAGGGAAGCAGAAATGGGTACGAGGGGAATATTCTCAGGAAGAAGTTAAGGCTAAAAGGAGAAACCTTACTCCATGAATGTTTTCTCCAACAGTCAATAGATCCTCTCGCTCCGGCAATATTTAACTGGAAAGATCAGGCTGTGTGTGTCTCCCCTGTGTTGACATAGCATAGTGTTCTTCCCAGAGAATAGCACAGCACATGGAATTGTCATGACCTGTTTTTTTGTTTTGTTTTTGTCTTTGAGTTAAAATGTGAGCTAGACTGTGAACACCACAGGGACTGTGCGAGGTTGTTAAAATCGTATCCCTAGCACCCAGCCTAATGGCTGGTGTATAGTAGATGCTCAACAAAAATGCATTGCATTAGGGGCGCCTGGGTGGCTCAGTCATTAAGCGTCTGCCTTCGGCTCAGGTCATGATCCCAGGGTCCTGGGATCGAGCCCCACATCGGGCTCCCTGCTCGGTGGGAAGCCTGCTTCTCCCTCTCCCACTCCTCCTGCTTGTGTTCCTGCTCTCGCTGTCTCTTTCTTTGTCAAATAAATAAAACCTTAAACAAAATGCATCAGAGAATGAATAATAATTTGGAGGCAGTTATATTGAATATCTAAGTTACCTTTTCTGTGCTCAGTGCCACAGAAAAGTGCTTTTCCAAAGTTTTTGGATTTCACTAACAAGTTAAAACATTGATCTTATATGGAAGTTTTTAAAACTACCGTAAGGGCGTCTGGGTGGCTCAGTTGGTTGAGCGACTGCCTTCCGCTTAAGTCATGATCCCGGAATCCCGGGATTGAGTCCCACATCGGGCTCCCCCCTCCTCAGCGGGGAGTCTGCTTCTCGTTCTGACCCTACCCCCCTCTTGTGCTCGCTCTCTCTCTCAGAATAAATAAAATCTTTAAAAATAAATAAATAAAACTACCGTAAGCAGGGTGCCTAGGTGGCTCAGATGGTTAAGTGTCTGCCTCTGGCTGGGGTCATGATCTCTGGGTCCTGGGATGGGGGCCCCTAGTGGGGGTGGGATGTCTGCTTCTGCCTTTCCCCCTGCTCATGCCCTGCTCAGCAGGAAGCCTGCTTCTCCCTCTCCCACTCCCCCTGCTTGTGTTCCCTCTCTCTCTGTCTCTTTCTGTCAAATAAAATCTTTAAAAAAATAAAATAAAAATCTCATCTCCCACCTGATCAGTGAAAATATCATTGACTGGCTCCTTATTCACAGAAGGACTATTGCAACCCTATTCATACAGAAAAAGTATAAAGTAGAGGTGCCCCTAGCTTAATAGGCTTTATGGGAAATAAAACGCACATGATGGACAGCCAAGCGTTACATTGTATGGTGTTGACTATTCCTTGGCAGAAGAACAGAAAGATAAGTGTGCTTTGAACCCGTGGGGATGGATGAACCTTGATATGGTGTGGAATTCTGTACTGTTTACCAAGTATGTTTAGACAAACTGCCCGATTGAGTTCTCACAATTAACTCATGAGATATTACTCCTATCTTAAAGGTGCAGAAAGGGGTTTGAAGAGATTCACCTTTGTTGAGGGTGATTTGCCCAAGGTGACACACACAGTCCTAATGATTGGTCCAGCGCAGAGTGTGAGATCTCGAACTCAGACTCTTCCAATTCCAGGCTCAATCTACATCCCACTACCTTCCTGGGAGATTCGGGAACGAAACGTCAGCAGAGTTGGAGAGCAAGGGAGAGGTGTGTGGTTAGGTCTCAGGTTTTTGGGGAGGGGCGTGACGCAGCCCAGGCCTCTCTGGGGGCGTGGCCGGCCGGCGGGGCGGGGCCTACGGCGGCCCGGCGCGCTCGGGGCGTGGCTTCCCCGCGGCAGTCGGCTGAGCCGGTGGGTTTTGCCTGCAGTCGCTCAACGGCTCTGCGGGACCATGGCGAGTGATGGGTCTCCGAGCGCACCCCCGCGGCCGCTGCACTCAGCGCAGGCGGTGGACGTGGCCTCGGCCTCCAATTTCCGGGCTTTCCAGATGCTGCACTTGCACCTGGACCTGCGGGTCGAGTTCGGGCCTCCGGGGCCGGGCCCCGGGAGCCGGGGGTTGAGCGGCACGGCAGCCCTGGAGCTGCGCTGCTTGGTGCCCGAGGGCGCCACCGAGCTGCGGCTCGATTCGCACCCGTGCCTCGAGGTGACGGCGGCGGCGCTGCGGCGGCAGCGGCCCGGCCTGGAGGAGCCGCCCTCGGAGCCCGTGCCCTTCCACACGCAGCCCTTTTCGCACTACGGCCAGGCCCTGTGCGTGGCCCTCCCGCAGCCCTGCCCGGCCGGCGAGCGCTTCCAGCTTCTGCTCACCTACCGCGTCGGGGAGGGACCCGGGGTGAGTTAGACTCCGGGGCCCAGCCCCGCCGCGGCCTCTCCCGGCCCCTTCCTACCCGCCCTTCCTGCCTCGGAGCCGGTCCCCGGACCTGCACTAATCCCCACCCTCAAAGAGAGAGAAGATGCTTCCGCCTTTGCCCGGAGGGGGCCCGGAGCTTCCCGTTGCACGCCTCTCGCCCTCCCACCCTCAGCGCCCCCTCTTCCTCCCAGGCTGCCCCGCTTTCCCTCTTCTGGCTTCCGGCCAGCCTCCGAGCTGTGCACCCTTCGTCCTTTCCACCCTTCCTGCCTCTCCCCGCCCAGGGGTTCTGGTGGCATCTCCACGTTGTTTCCCTCTCGCACACCGCCCTGTCTGGTTGCTCTTTCTGCCTGCCGAGGAAACCCTGTCCTGTGCAGCTTTCGGGATAACCGGCTATTTATAAATCGAATTTAACGTTTCGTGGGGCTTTGGGGCCTAGGTCCCTGATAAGGAGCTACTTAGTTTTCCCTTTACGGCAGCCCTGGACCCTGCCGGTTAATTAGCCCTGGGTGCTGACTCAGCCCTTTGTCCGTGTGCTCTTGCGGTGCCACAGGCTGAAATAACTCTGAACCCCAGAGAGTTATTTTTGCTTTCTTCTGCGAAGTCCCAGATTTGTTTAATTGAAGAATTTGAGTAAAAATGAGAACTAGAATTAGGGTGTTCTAGACTTTGTAATAAGTTGGCCCTGTTATTACTCTTGATTGACTCATTGATTAACTCTTAAATATTACATTTTGGGGTGGTGGACAGATATTGGTATTTAAATAAAAGGATGGATGGTTATGTGGCTTACATTTGTAAGAGTTTGGAACTCCTTCATAGAGTCCTGAGGCTGTGGTTGCTAGTCGTTTCTCAGGTAGGGTGGGTTATATGTTTCACGGTAGGCTGCTTGCCTACAATCAAAGTTTACTTATCTAGCTAGCAGTTCCTTTCACTCTTTGAGCTGGCCCGAAAGACAGTTCTGTTTCCATCTTTATTCAGGGAATAAATGAACCTGTGATAGAGCTTGTTTAAAGAATGAAAAGTCCAAACCTCTAAGGCAAAGGAAAAAACCCAGTGCCCTCAAAGGATAACATAACATCTTTAAATGTGTTTGGTTGCCCTGTTACATGCTAGCTTCTGGTTTGGGGCAGGAACTAGGAATTAAACAGGATACCTGGAAAAATTAAGCCCTCTCTGAAATTGCCTACTGAAAATGGCACCTCAAATTAAACATCAATAGTAAACAGCTTTCATTAGAGACTAAGAGCAGACACCCACACTTTGCACTGTGAAGGTCGACACTAAAGTCACCTGTATTGCTTCTCATTGCCACCATCCCAAGTGAGGGCTCTCACCTTAATCACTGTAGGTAACAGCCTCACCCTGACTTAAGACTCTTTCTTACAGAGCGGAAATACTTATACTACCAGGCTCCATTTTCTCCTCTATGTCATTATAAACAGAAAAAGGCATTAAGGTATGGTGGAGGGGATGACCAGTATTTATTAAAATGTGCCAGGTACTAGACAACTACTAAATGACTTGTCTTTACAGAAGTGCCTAATACAGTGCCTGGTACCTACTGAATACTATGTGTTAGTCTTATTGTTAACTCATTAAATTTCTCTCAGTAATAGGATTAAAGACAGTTTAGGGGTGCTGGGTGGCTTAGTCGGTTGACTCTTGATTTCAGCTTAGGTCATGATCTCAGGGTTGTAAGATTGAGCCTTGCCCCTAATTGGTGCTGGGCGTGGAGCCTGCCTGAGATTCTTTATCACCCTCTCTCCCTGCCCCTCCCCCACCAAAGGATTAAAAACAGTTTAGATTGGGCGCCTGGGTGGCTCAGTTGGTTAAGCGACTGCCTTCGGCTCAGGTCACGATCCTGGAGTCCCGGGATCGAGTCTCGCATCGGGCTCCCTGCTCAGCAGGGAGTCTGCTTCTCCTTCTGACCCTCTTCCCTCTCGTGCTTTCTCTCATTCTCTCTCTCTCTCAAATAAATAAATAAAATCTTAAAAAAAAACAATTTAGGGACGCCTGGGTGGCTCAGTTGGTTAAGCGACTGCCTTCGGCTCAGGTCACGATCCTGGAGTCCCGGGATCGAGTCCCACATCGGGCTCCCTGCTCAGCAAGGAGTCTGCTTCTACCTCTGACCCTCTTCCCTCTCGTGCTCTCTATCTCTCATTCTCTCTCTCTCAAATAAATAAATAAAAATCTTAAAAAAAAAAAAACAATTTAGATTAACAAGAAAAGTGAGCAGATAGTACAGAGTTTCCATATACCCTTCCACATACAGATTGCTCTATTAGCATTTTGCAAGTATGATACATCTGTTAACAATGAACCAATATTGATACAGTATTATTAACTAAAATTCATAGTTGTTCTTTTTTTTAAGGTTTTTATTTATTTATTTGACAGAGAAAAAGAGAAAGCTGCAGCAGAGGGAGAAGCAGGCTCCCCACTGAGCAGAGAGCCCAATGTAGGACTTGATCCCAGGACCCTGGGGTCATGACCTGAGCTGAAGGCAGACACTTAACCAACTGAGCCACCCAGGCACCCCTAAAGTTCATAGTTTTTTTCAGATTTTCATAGGCTTTACTTAATATCTTTTTCTGTTCCAGGGTCCCATCAGGAATACCACAGTATATTTAGCTTTCATGTATCCTTAGGCTCCCCCTTGGCTATGACAGTTTCTCAGACTTTACTTGTTTTTGATGACCTTGACAGTTTTTCTTTTTTTTTTTAAAGATTTTATTTATTTATTTGAGAGAGAGAGAGAGAGCGTGCACAAGCAGGCAGAGTAGCAGGCAGAGGGAAAGGGAGAAGCAGGCTCCCCTCTGAGCAAGGAGCCTGATGCGGGACTCGATCCCAGAACCGAGGGATCATGACCTGAGCCGAAGGCAGTGGCTTAACCAACTGAGCCACCCAGACACCTGACCTTGACAGTTTTGAGGAGTATTGGTCTGATATATTGTAGGATGCCTCTCTATTGGAATTTGTCTGTTTTTTGCATGATCAGACTGGGGTTATTAACAAATTTTTAAGAAGTTTATTTTTTACAGCAGTTTTAGGTTCACAACAAAATTCAGTGGAATGTCACAAAGGTAAAGTTCTGTCTTCGCATCATATTGCGAATACACAGTATCAACATGATTTGTGACTGTTTGAAGTTGACCTCACTCATCTGGCTGAAGTAGTGCTGGTTTTTCCACTGTGGTATTTCTTTCTCCTCCTTTCCATCTGTACTGTACTCTTTGGAAGGAGGCTCATTAAAATTTTCACACCACACAAAAGAAACTCAAGCAAAGAAAAAGCCAACATCTCCATGTGGCATCTTTATGCCTCTTAAAAGTATGTCTCAAATACTCGTGTTCAAAGCATTTCAGTCCACCTGCCGAGGCATGCCTCCCACCTCTGTATCTGAAACCTACCCCCAATTCCCAGAGATCGCCCATCCATGACTTTCTTCACGCTGCTACCTACCTCTTTGAGGATGTCTTCTTTCCTTTCCAACCATCTCAGTCCTACTCACCTTTAAACTGGAAAGTTTTGCTTCCGCTATGAAACCTTGCCAGAGTTATCTAATCCTTTTCTAAATTCTAAGTGGCATTTGGTGCTGACATACCCTCCTCCCCCTCACAGTTAGTATGTTATAAGTGAACTTTTTGCAGTAGGCAAAAATTGGGTTTGTAATGATCATTCAGATTTGCCTTTGGTTACAGGCTGACAGAAAACAAATTAAGACGTATATATAGCCAGGGTGCCTCGCTGGCACCTGGTAGAGCATGCAACTCTTGATCTTGGGGTTGTAAGTTTGATCCTCACGTTGGGAGTAGAGATTACTTAAGAATAAAATCTTTAAAAGATATTTAAAAAATTATATATAGCCAGTACCTATAATGTAAGATACATTTATTCTGAAAGGGTAAGTTTCAGGAATGGAGAACACATATTAATCACAGACTCCTCCCACTTCCCTTCTGTGCCGTTTACTGCAAGTTCAAATACAGCTGCTTCTCAATTGGTTTTTGTCTGTTTTTTAATGAGAAACCACTACAGCGTGCGGGACTCAGAGGAGGAAGACAGGATGCCAGGGTCAGAGGCCATGTCTGGAATTCTTGAGATACCTAGTGGGATACAGTGGGGAATAGACCCTTTGTGGTGTTTCTACCATGTGAGGTGGACGTCAATACGTTGGCATGGATTCCAGGGTGGATTAAATACACAGTAGGAGAGAACTTCCCAGTCAGGACCAAACTGCTGGTAGGATTATAAGGATTACCTAAAATTCTCCCCTGCCAGCCAACTCCTTTTCTCTGGCTGGACTGAGCTCATGTAGGGGGTGTCAGTTTGGAAATGTTCTTCTATTCTCTTAGGTTTGCTGGTTGGCTCCTGAGCAGACAGCAGGAAAGAAGAAGCCTTTCGTCTATACCCAGGGTCAGGCTGTCCTGAACCGGGCCTTCTTCCCTTGCTTCGACACTCCGGCAGTGAAATGCAAATATTCAGCACTTATTGAGGTAAGAGGATTAAGGTTAAGTACCTGCCCTTGGGATTGAATTTCAGATCTATCTAGTCACATTTCAACTGGTAAATTGTTACATCCATCCAGTGGTACCTCTGCAAAATTCCTCCGTGTACAGAAATTTTATTTGTGCTAAATTCCATCAGCTTAGCACAAGTTTAGTTTCTTGAAACCTTTGTGTTCTCCAAGACAGGCTCCCGGTCGTGGCTGTCACTATGCAGGTTGCCCGCCATGCTGTTCTTAGTGCCAATCAAAAGGAGACTCCGGGTAAAATCTCCTAAGCTTTCTCTCTTGTCAGGTCCCAGATGGCTTCACAGCTGTGATGAGTGCTAACACCTGGGAGAAGAGAGGTCCAAATAAGTTCTTCTTCCAGATGTGTCATCCCATCCCCTCCTATCTGATAGCTTTGGCCATCGGAGATCTGGTTTCGGCTGAAGTTGGACCCAGGTAGGAGACAAAGACCTCCACAGGCAGGGTCGGACTGACCTCAAGGCAAGGAGGCCTCTGCTCAGTGGCCCAGCTGGGATGGTTCTTGGGACAGTCTTGCATCTGCTCTCAATGGACAGCCTTTCTGTGGCCCAGAAGTGAAGCGTGTGGCATGAGTACAGTGGGAGGAAGGGCTTTCCCCGCTCCCCCTCTGCTTCTCATCCTGCTGTCTGGAATGAGGTCATCAGTCCTGCTAACAGCAGTAGCTGCTGTCCTGGGCCACCTTGTGGAGTGCAGTGGGCACCGAAGCAGAAGTTTTAGAAGACTCATCTTTATCACTATCTTTTAGTTCTGAATTCCCTTCTAGCTGTTATATTTGCTTTTTAATCTTTGTACCAAATCTCTCCTTTTTCTCTAGCACGTAATTCCCGGAAATATACAACTTTGATCTCCTTGTTCCCCTGCAGAGAGGAAAGTGGGAGATCCTTCTTTGTCTGCTCCAGATACATACACCTGAACCCATGGTGGCAGAGATACCTCCGTGAAATTAGATGGGTTTAATGGAGATGAATAAGGATTTTGTAAGGTTCCCTGCTAAAAGAAACTTGACCAGGAGTGTCGGTTTTTTCCTGGCTCTCATATTATCTGCCAGTACAGCATAATCCTGCAGTAAAATGATCAAAGGCTGGACAGTAAGCTATGGCGCTTTTCCCGGCTCTGCTGCTGTGGCCCTTCTCTCAGGTCCTGGAGGCGGTGGTGACCTTGACCGCATTGGTTACAGGCATCAGACCTCATAGCCGAGCTCAGTAGCACTGTTAAGATCATGAATCTTAGTTCCTGGGCTTCAGAGAGAATAAGAGATGGGATGCCGTTGGCATCTGCTTCCAGCACACACACTCACAACAGTACCAGTTTTGAAAGACTAGGTGCTCTCCTGCCATGAAGGGCAGTCTTTCTGACAGAGTGGGTTGTACGTAACCAAAGGAGCGTCAGCATTGCAGTTGACCGGAAAGTAGATAAGTAAAGGAATGTTAGAGAGTTTACTCTTAACTAAGGTTCTGTTAGTAAGAGTATAAACTATTTATTTTATTTTTTATTTATTTTTTTAAAGATTATTTATTTGAGAGAGAGAGATCACGAGCCGGGGGAGGGGCAGAGAGAGAAGCAGGGTCTCCACCAAGTCGGGAGCCTGATGTAGGACTCTACCGCAGGAACCCAGGATCATGACCTGAGCCGAAGGCAGATGCTTAACCAAATGAGCCAAGTCCTTGCCTTGTGGGGGAACATCTTAGGGTCTTGTGAAGGTATGTTAGTTGAGAGGGTCTTTTGGCAAACTTTGCCCCCAGTCCCAGTTACCATGGGAGGAAAATCCTGGGCAGAAGAGATAGTGGATATGTCCTAGTCATGTTTTATGTATAATCTCTTCTAATCCTTACGTAACGTCACTGAGGGGGTTACTGTTTTCTCCCTGTTGTGGATAAAGCTAACTGAGGCTTGTGGTGGAATTACTTGTGCAAAGTTACATCATTGGCAGAACTGGAATTCCAATCCAGGCATTTCTGTGCAGAGCCAGTGCTTGTTGCGCTAGACTACTGGTGATAAAAATCCAGCCTGACCGAGAACATTCCAGTTTCTTTAGACAGAAATCTCTGTACTGGAGGAAGTATCTCGGATGCCCCCTGTCTAGCCCTGCCTTCATCTTCTAGTCGTAGCAAGCTGAAGTAGCCTGGGTGGAAGGACTTTGCTAGTTGTGATACCCAAGCTGATCACAAAGCAATTCCTTGAAGACTTTGACACCTTTGTCATGGTCTTTTCTCAGCCCTGTCACATCATTTTTGGTGACTTTTTTTCTCCATCTGGATTACCTGTCCGCATGCCAGGGATGAGGGTGGCTTCAGGGTTCCTCAGCCTCCTCTACTCAGGGACCCTCTCCACCTGATCCAGCCCCCCACACTCATGGGCACACACTCTACAATCTAGGGCCTCGCTGTGGGCATTCGCATGAGCTGTGCTATAGCACAGCACAAACGCCTTTGCCTCATTCATTCTCTGACCCCATGCCCCATGCCCTAACCTGCCGGCCCCCTGGTGACCTCACTCTCGCTGTATCTGCTTCTTAAGCTAACTGAGGCCTTTCTTCCTGCGAGCTGTGCGTTTCTTCCTGGGCAGCCAGCCTCTCGTGGCCGGGCCCATCTTTTCTCTGTGGCCCAGGTGTGGGGTTGATCTTCTCTTCCTGACACAGCAGGCTGCCTTGTGTGCTTTCCTGCTGCTCTAACTTCCAGTGCCGGGTCCTGCTGTCCCCTTTCTCTACTTCTGTACCTGGGTGTCTGAGAGGAGAAGACAGCTGTGCATACTGATTCTGCTATCCATTTCTGGTTTCTTGGTGAAAAGCGGGAATTGAAAGTTGAAATAGGGAAGCCTGGGTGGCGTAGTTGGTTAAGCGTCTGCCTTTGGCTCAGGTCATGCTCCCAGGGTCCTGAGATCGAGCCCTGCTTTGGGCTCCCTGCTCATCAGGGAGCCTGCTTTTCCCTCTGCCCTTCACCCCTCTCATGCTCTCTCTCTCTCAGATAAATAAAATCTTTTTAAAAAGTTGACATATATGTGGTTTTCAAGTAAAATAGAACAAATGTCGTCTTCAACTACGGATATGCTTTCAGTATTGCTCACCAGTCCTTTATTTATCTTCCTAGCCCACTCTCCTTAAAGGATGACTCTTGTCTTCAAATTTCCTGTTCGAACACCAGATCCTCCCTCCGAGCAGATGATCTTGTCTCCTACTTTATTGAGAATATTTAATTTGTCAGATATGGTTATGTCAGCTTCCTGTTTTCCATGTAAAAAGTCATCTTCATCTGCTTTCGTCCTTCCCTTCTTCCCTCCAGACTCTAAAGAGGGGCGTCCATCCTTCTGTTTAAAGCCACATCTCTGCATTTGAGCCATCGTTGTTGGTTCAGTCCCTCCCCAAATCTGGTGGAGCTTTGCCTCATTGTTTACCCCTCACTCTTCAGATGTGCAGCCTGCCCCCCAACTGGCTCTTTCCTTCCAACCCTAACCATGTTCCTGTTTCCTGTAGCTTGAAAAAAGCAAAAAACAAACTCGTTGACTCCATGTTCCCTTTTAGCACACTACCTTGTGCTTCCCTACTTAGCCGAGTTCCTTAGAAGGGTAGTGTTTATGCTCGCCCACTGCCCACGAACTGCTTGGACCTGTGGGAATCCAGCACCTCTCCCCGTCGTGCCACAGAAACTCCTGTAGTAAGAGAAGCCACTGGCCTCAGCCTGTGTAGCACATTGGCTCCTCCTCAGTCCTTGTCTTGGTGTCCTGCACTTTTCTTCTGCCTCTTGACCCTCCTCTGGCTTCCGCGATGCAATTCTGTCCTGGCTCCAGGACCCCCTGGCTCGTCCTTTCTGGACTCTTCTCTGCCCAGCCCCACCGTGTGCTGGTGTTGCCCAGGACTCTGTTTGGGATCCATTCACCTTTCCTCCATGCTTTTCTTGGGCATATGCACTTGCTTTTGTAATTTAAAGGTATCTTCTGGGTACTGCAGCTAGAGTGATCTCTCAGGATTCAATCTGATAGTACCACTTACTGGTTTATTTTTTTTAAGATTTTATTATTTATTTGAGAGAGAGAGAATATGGGCAGGGAGGAGGGGCACAGGGAGAGGAAGAAGCAGACTCCCTGCTGAGCGGGGAGCCCGAGGTGGGACTCGATCCCTGACCTGAGCCAAAGGCAGACGCTTAACTGACTGAACCACCCCGGCGCCCACCACTTACTGGTTTAAAATACTCTCATGGCTCTGAAGGTCCAGCTGTATCACTTGGCGTATCGGGCCCTTTGTGACTGGAGCCTCAAGGGCCTCTCTACCCACTCTTCCCCTCCCCTCCCCCAGCCCCGATCTGATGGTAAGTGCTCCAGTATCCCAGACTCTCGGTGGTTCCTCACCTGCATGTACAGTTTCCTCTCCTAGGCCCTTGCTTCTGCTCCTGGGGAAGCCCCTGCTCCTTCTCCTCCTGCTAGAACAGTTCCTGAGCTTCCACAGGGGCAGAGAGGACACCTTCCCTCCTCCTGACCTGGAGCCCATCCACTTTTCTATCTTATATACTGTCTTCTTTCATCTTCCCCGCTCACTTTACAGATAGACACACTGAGGCTCAGGGAGGTCAGTGACTTTTGCAAGGTCACCTTCAATGCTGGAGACGGAACATGACGGCACTGTGAGTTTGAGCCTGTTGCACACGGGAGGCAGCTCCTCTAGGACGCTATGTTGGGATCTTATTTATCAGGTGTGGCGAGCAGTCTCGGACCCGTATAGGTGATCTGACCTTGCACCTCCTGTCTCTGTGGCCGGCCACACTGTCACATTCATCTGGCTCAGATATGAGACTGCCAGGTTTCTCCAGGTGCTTTTGAGATTGGGTCACCACGATAGGTCTCCAAACACCAGCCTGCTTTTTTCTGTGCTCTTGTCTTTAGGAGTCGGGTGTGGACTGAGCCCTGCCTGATCGAGGCTGCCAAGGAGGAGTACAACGGGGTGATAGAAGAATTTCTGGCTACAGGAGAGAAACTTTTTGGACCCTACGTTTGGGGAAGGTGTGGTATCACATTGACTCTAATGTCTTCTGCTAAACTGAGTCCCTGGTTTCCCCCTCTCTTCCTTCTGGTGCTGCTTCTCCTCTCTCCCTTAGAGCCAAGTTCCCCAATCCCAGAAGTAAAAGAGAGGAGGAAGCAATAGAGGAAGGGAGAAACGAGGCCTACTTCACTGTGCTGAGGAGGGACCCGAAGAGAGAGGGTTATTGAAGTGATAAAAATGTGCTTTCCAGCTGCTGAATGTGGAGATGGAGAAACACTGTCAGGGGACCTTGGGGACCTTTGTGACTTACCTTTCCTGGTGGCTAGAAGCAGCCACACACTCCCATTTTTTCCTTGACATCTCCGGACTTTAGCCGCCTCGGATCAAAGGCTCTGTTAGATCTGTGTGACCCCAAGTGAGCCATCAGCAAGCTAACTGTGACAGAGCTGATGATAGGGCCATACCCTGCTTGGAAGGAGAACAGGGAGCAGGTTTCAGAGAGCCGCCTCCAAAAGGGCAAAACCTGGGGAAAGGGAGGTCCCAGCGACTTGGGGACGGAGGAATCCCGAGTATCATTTCAGTGCTGGGCTCGGGGTTGCGTGCTGCTGCTTTGGTGGCTGCATCTCTGTAGGCCGAGGGGCCCACCTGGGGAAGTGAGGCAGGGTCTCTGCCCTGGGGAGCCAAGACCTGTCTGTGACCTCCTGCTTTCTCGGTAGGTATGACCTGCTCTTCATGCCACCATCCTTTCCGTTTGGAGGAATGGAGAACCCTTGTCTGACCTTTGTCACCCCCTGCCTTCTGGCAGGGGACCGCTCTTTGGCTGACGTCATCATCCACGAGATCTCCCACAGTTGGTTCGGGAACCTGGTCACTAATGCCAACTGGGGGGAATTCTGGCTCAATGAAGGCTTCACCATGTATGCCCAGAGGAGGATCTCCACTGTCCTCTTTGGTAAGCCAGCTCTCCTAGGGACCCCACGCTCCATTCTTTGACCTGCGAGGCCAGTGTGACCTCCTTCGGGGTTTTGGGACACAAGTGGGCATGAAGGGAGGGGCAGCGGTGCAGAAAGCTCCGGCGAGAGGCCAGCAAGGGCCGACTCTAGACAAAAGTCCCTTCCAAGTGGATGAGCCCCGTTGCATTACATGGCATTAAGTCAGTAGGCATGGTGGGGAGAGGGGGTCTCAGAAACTGCATGTTGGCTGAATGAACCAATGAGGGGCCCAACAGTGAAAGGACCCCTCAGCTAAGCTGAAACCACACTCAATGCTTTGTTCTCCCAACAGCCAGGCAACCCCTCGGGGAGAGTTGCCCAGGGTCATTCACCCACATAGCTAGTTAATCTTACAAATAAATCATAAGATCATTATAATCATTACCTCCTATTGAACACCTACCTACCAGCTTTGTACAGGCACCTTATTAGAAATACATCATTTAACAATTTCACAATAGCTCTATGAAACAGATATGATTTCCATTTTATATATGAGCTCACTGTGACTCAAAAAGTATAAGAAATGTGTCCAAGCCACTTGGCAAGTGGGGGCAGAACCCCACATTGAGCCCAGGTGTGCTTTTAAAATAACTTTCTCAACATTGTCTCATTATTGAAAACCTGCTATATATCAGGTGCTTTAAAAATATAACATGTATGGAGTGCCTGGGTGGCTCAGATGTTTAAGTGTCTGCCTTCGGCTCAGGTCATGATCCCAGGGTCCTGGGATCGAGCCCTACATCGGGCTCCCTGCTCCGCGGGGAGTCTGCTTCTCCCCCTGCTCATGCTCTCTCTCTCTCTCTCTCTCTCTCTCTCTGTATCTCTGTGTCTCAAATGAATAAATTAAAAAAAAATCTTAAAAGAAAAAATATATAACATGTATTATTTTTATTATTTCTCTCATCAAAATCTATTTTGATCTATATGGGAAGGCACGCACAATAGATTTACCCATAATCTCCCTGTTCAGAGATAATTGATGTATATTGTTTCAGACATTTCCCTGTGTGTGTGTGAGAATCATCAGACCTTCCAACTGCCTTTTTTTCTTTAACTTAATAAAGTTAAACATTTTCCCAACTCATTAAATTTTCTTCTATAGCTGCATTCTATGGATGTTTCTTAACATACTCAGTTTCCAGTTGTTAGGTTATTTTCAGTTTTTCTCTTTTTTTAGAGAGAGAATGTGTGTGAGCAGGGCTGAGGGAGAGGGAGAGAGAATCTCAAGCAGACTCCACGCGGAGTGTGGAGCCCAACGGGGGGTTCCATCTCATGACCCTGAGATCATGACCTGAGCCCCAATCAAGAGTCGGATGTTTAACGGACTAAACCACCTAGGTGCCCCTGTTATTTTCAGTTTTCTAATGAAAGAATATTTTGACAAATATTTTTACATATAAATGTTCGTAACATATCCCAGACCATCTCAATGGAGATAAATTCCTAGAAATGTAATTTCTGGATCCAAACATTTTAAAGGCTTTTTAGCACACATTGTCCATTGCCTCCCAGAAAGTTTGTGCAAATTTACTTTCAGCCAGAGTATATGGAACAAGAGCCTATTTGTGAATATCTTACTCAGCCACTAAGAATCCTGCAAGCACATGTTGTCAGCCCACTGTGCAGATGAAGAAGTTGAGGCTAAGAGAGATCGAGTACCTCTCCCAGAGTCAGAACACCTTGTGAGTGGCAGAGGTGGCTGGTTCGAAACCTGACCCCCTTCCCCTCCATTTTTAGAGCCAGAAGGAAATGTAGAGACCCCTAGAAAAATGTTGGGTGACAGTTTCTGTTGTCTGGCAGGAACAGTCAAATGAAAATAGTCTGCTTTTATAGAAGATCAAATTACTATCTCTAAAAATAAAAGCATATTGATGAGGAAAGGTAGCAGTCACAGGAAAAAGTGTGAGATTCCCTCATCCTCATGTCTGGGCGAGACTGACAGCCTGAGCTAACCATTTGTAGTCCAGAGCAACAAGGAGCTAGGGGCTGAGTCAGGTTCTCTGTCACTGACCCTTCTGGCCCTGGGGTCCCCAGAGGGTGACAGTATGAATCTTCAGTTATCTGTCATTGTTCTTGTGGCCACAAGGAGGCAGCACACCCTCTTGTCCGGAAATTATACTTGGACGTGGTCTTGAGGCCTAAGGATTCTTCTTGCCCCAGGCTCTGCTTACACCTGCTTGGAAGCTGCCACTGGCCGGGCTCTGCTTCAGCAGCACATGGACATCACTGGCGAGGAACACCCACTCAACAAGCTCCGCGTGAAGATCGAACCAGGTCCGGGAGGCTCCTCTGTCTGACTACCCCCTCCCCGACATTGAGCTTGGGGCCCCAAGTTTGTGCACACCTTGAATACTCTCCTTGGGAAGGAAGAGCCCTCCAGAGCTCTTTTTAGCCATTCCCGGGCCTCTAGACAGACTCAGCCAAAGCCATTCCAGCCCAATGGGAGTTCTTTCCAGTTTTGTGCAGTTCTTAGTGACTTTACTGTTGCTCTGCATTTGTACAGGCCCCTATCATTTTCCAGGGCTCTTTGCCATTCTTTTTCTATCAAGTCAGACCTGTAGTCTTGTAGATTGACCGCTTATTTTACAGAGGACGTGAGTGAGCACCCAATAAGATGACTTGTCCAAGGTCATGTATTTTTATTTTCTGACATCTTTCTTTAGTTCCATGTATGACTAATCTAAGACCTCTGTGTGTGACTTAAGCTCACGTTCCTTGATGCCAATGACCATGAAAATGAACTTCTTGTAGACTGGTCATTCGTTTATTTTGGTCTAGAACATTTGTAGAAACAACCACTTGTTCTGGGAGGGGAGGTTGAGTGGAGGTGGTGACCAGTTGGGCTGGAAAAGGCACCAAGCCCTATATTCAGTCCTAAGAGTCAATGGAACCCACTGGAGCAAAGCAATCCCAGGAACAAGGAAACTTGCCAGTTCCCCAGGAAGGCTGGTTCTTTGTCTTCTTATTAGGTCCGTAGTTAATGACCCTTTAAGATCAACTTTGAAGTGGCTTGAGAGAGGCCAAGGTGGATCTGGAAACTTTCTTGGCCTTGCTAAATCTGAGGAAGCTGAATTCTGATCTCGTCCATAATTACTCGTAGAATCTGGAGCTGGAGAAGGACAACAAAAGTGACAGGTTACAAGTGTCTGCTTTCTCTGCTAGGTGTCGACCCAGATGATACCTACAACGAGACTCCCTACGAGAAAGGCTTCTGCTTTGTCTCATACCTGGCCCACTTGGTGGGTGATCAGGATCAATTTGACAATTTTCTCAAGGTATAGTCGACTCAGAGATGAGAGGAGAAGGAGGCACCGAGAAGCCAGCTGGGCCAGAGTTCAGGGGTAGAGGCAGGGGCTGAAGGGACAAGGGAAGGGGTTGGAGGAGAACCTGAGGCATGGAGGGCCTGTACTCCCCATAGGATCCAGAATGACTGAAAAGTACCTCCCTCCCTGCAGGCCTATGTTAGTGAATTCAAATTCCAAAGTATCTTAGCTGAGGACTTTCTAGAGTTCTACTTGGAATACTTCCCTGAGCTGAAGAAGAAGAACGTGGAGTCCATTCCAGGTGAGCAGAGGAGCTGGCTTAAGGCTCGTGGGAGATAGTAGAGAATTATGTCTAATTTATATCCAGGAAGACTGAAGGTGGGGCAGGAAAACATGAAATCGAGTCCTCCAGTAAGTGGCACCTAGGGGTGCACACCCAGGGTCCCAGGCCTTGTTCCACAAGAATGATTTCTCTCAGCTCCTCCTGGCCTCGCTTGCTCCACTTTTTCCCCTCAGTGTCTCCTCTTGTGTCCCCATTTTCCTCACACATACACACATATAACCAAACCCCCGACTCTGCCCAGAGAGCTACCACCGCCCCAGCTATGACCCAGGCCCGCGGTACCGGCAGCTGCCCCGGTAAGCATGCATGGAGTTGCCTCGTACGGACTTCTGAGTGAAGCAAAATCCCAGGGGCCGCCCAGATTTCAGCTTGGGAGGCCCTAAGAGGAGACGGTGGCCTGTTGTGGATGAGGCTGCCCACTGGAGACACCCCACTCGTGCTGGGCACTCTGAGTCAGGCCATCATTGGTCTGGTAAACTCACTTCCCCTGGCAGCTGGGACTGGTCGGGCCTGGAGCACCTACCCTCTGCTTGGAGGCCCGCACTTGAAGGTCACGAGACTCCCTGGCTAATGAAAGTTAATAATTACTGAGTGCTCACTACACACCAGGCAGCATGCTAGACTCATACTGTGTATTTGCTTATTTAATCCTCACCACTACTAAGACGTGCAGGGCCTCTCATTCTGCCTTTTATCATTTTACAGATAAAACAGAGGCGCAGAGAGGCGAAGTAACATGCCCGTGGCCTCCCAGCTAGTTAATGGCAGGGCTGGGATAGGAGCCCAGGCAGCCTGGCCCCAGGGCCCAGGAGCTTCAACACCGTGTTGTTCTTCTCATCTGAAGGAGAACATGAACTTGACTGAAGCTAGGAAAGCCTTCATCCACTTGGTTCTGGCAGCGCAGTGTTAATTTGGACTCAAAACGACTGTCACAGTAGAAAAAGGGGCCATCCAGTCTGACAATAACAATCTCTGGGTCTCAGTATTAGTGGGACCCAACCGGAGCAGGTAGCTCTGTGGGAAAGTGATGTTAAAATTAGAGAAGCAGTTTGGGATGGAGAGAGGCAGAGAGGAGCTTGAGATCTAGGTGTTGTTGGAGCCAAGTTGACCTTGCTGCCAGAGAATTCTGACAGCCCCCTCTCTCCTTCCACCAAACAGGTTTTGAGTTTGATCGGTGGTTGAATACCCCAGGCTGGCCCCCCTACCTCCCTGACCTCTCCCCTGGGGACTTACTTATGAAGCCCGCTGAAGAGCTGGCCCAGCTGTGGGTGGCCAAGGAGCTGGACATGAAGGCCATCGAAGCTGTGGCCATTTCTGCCTGGAAGACCTACCAGCTAGTGTATTTCCTCGATAAGATCCTCCAGAAATCCCCTCTCCCTCCTGGTAAGAAAAAGTGGGGTAAATCAATGCAGCATATCAAGGTCCCTTGTGTACAGAGCTTGATATCAGGGGCGGGGCTCACCCCTCGGCAGCTGCTGGGGGTTGGCAGGTGGATGCAAGCCCCTCACGGGGAACACGTCAACAGCTGCTGTGAGTCCTACACACAGGTTAGGAAGAGAATCCTAAAGCCTAGCCCTCGCTGCACCCTCGGGCTCTGCAGGTGATTCTTCTCAGCTCTTCACATCGAAGTCTTCCTTCAAGTCCTCCTAACCGCTCCATGTCTGGGGGCTGTGACTGTGACCCCCCAGGGAACGGAGGATGAACTTGTGCACAAATAGCCCCCACTACTGCCGCGTGGCTGCTCAGCCAGAAATAACATTCCCCCAGGGGTGTTGGAAAGAGAACATGTGAAAGCCGGGAGAACTTTCAGCAGCTCGGTGGCGGGGGGAGAAAAACCTGGGGTGGGGTGCAGCATGTTTTAGGGGGATACTTGGGCTTTTAACCTGGAAGGTAAGCGGGATGGTGGCAGAAAGTCTGTAATTACATTAAGGGAAGTTTGGTGGAAGAGCCTTAGAAATGAAGGTAAACTTAAGGCTCGGACAGCGCCCTTTCGGAGACTGAGGTGAGCAGGATGAGGTAAAGTGGGTGGTCGGGAGCCTCTGTGACATCGTTGGGGGCTTGCACCAGGGTCTGTGGGCAGACACACTCGTGGCTCTGATGACACAGCCATTAAAAACCCATTTTCTTTCTTCAGGGAACGTGAAGACACTCGGAGAGACATACCCAAAGATCTCAAACTCCCAGAACGCAGAGCTCCGGCTACGATGGGGCCAGGTCGTCCTTAAGAATGACCACCAGGAGGATTTCTGGAAAGTGAAGGCATTCCTGCAGAGCCAGGTGGGTGACCCCCACCTCCTTGTCCCCTTCAGGCCCACATGGTGGGCCGCCTCGACCTACTGTCCATAGTCCCATGGGTAGAGCCTCCCCGTGTGCCCTTCTGTGGAGCAGAGGAGGGAGGGGAAGGGAGAGGACCCAGCTCAGCGGTCTGGTTCCTGAGTGTGGCTGGGGGAGGTGTTCCCATGGCGGGAAGAAGCCTCCGGGGTTGGCGAGCTTTTTGCAGATCACCAGGTGAGGCCTGAAGGGTCCAAGCTGGGTCAGAGCTAACCCCAAACTGGGAAAAAGGGTAAAGCGGGACTCCAGGGCCGGTCTTGGGGCGAGGGGCCCAAGGACAAGAGAGGTGAGTGAAGGGTAAGATCACAGGTTCCTGCTTCCTGGGGAAGCCCGTGACCTGGGAGGGCTCAGAGGCCAGCAGGAGCCTCGGGCGCCCCGTGAGAGCGGCCCTGCTGGTGAAGGACCAGAGCGCCTCGGAGCCCGGGGCAGGACAGGGCTGGGTCCAAAGCAGTGCTCGGATGCCCTCATCCGTTTGTGGTGGGAGCTGCGCTCCTGTCGGGAGGTGTTCTGAGCCCCTCTGCAGGCTTCTCCAAGCCTCTGGAGTTCAGGAGCTTTGTGATGTGGCTTTCTCACATGGGTGTGAATTTGACTTGTGGGTTTTCTTGTGCTTGCCTGCAGTTGGGCCTCACGCGGCCCTCGGTTTTATAGGCGGCAGCCTTTGCTATCAGCTCAGTCCTGATCTAGGTCGTGAGTTCAGGCTTTGTGTTGGGCTCCACGCTGGGGAGCCTACTTAAAAGAAAAAATGAGTGTAGACACCCCTGTGCTAGCATGGATTGGAGTGAATACCGAGATCTACCTGCAGGGATCTTTAGCCCCAAGAAGATGCCAGAATAAGAGCACGCCTGTCTGGGAGCCTCCTCATTCTAGCACTGCTACCCACATCCCCTTTGGCACCTGCTGAGGCCTGCTGTTGGAGCGGCCCCGGGGCCAGGGGCTGTGTCGACTCACTGCTCAAGCCACGGGTGTGTGTGTTTCTTGCAGGGGAAGCAGAAGTATACTCTTCCGCTGTACCACGCAATGATGGCTGGCAGCAAGGTGGCCCAGACCCTTGCCAAGGAGACCTTCGAGGCCACTGCCCCCCAGCTCCACAGCAATGTAGTCAACTACGTCCAGCAGATCGTGGCGCCCAAGGGCAATTAGAGGCTCTGGGCCTGGCTTCTGCCTCTTCAGACTTTGCAGGCTTTCAGAATATTCCCAAATTCCAGTTCTCCAGCCAAATTCCTGAAGTTTACACACCCTTGGGGAAATCTGGTCTCTGGGCTGGGTGTCTGTGACTCTTGGGCCTCTGCTTTGGTGGAAACTTCTCTGGACCAGCAAGTCCTAAGACCAGAGAACCTTCCTCAGCTCTCTGCTGGCTTTGGTGAGGGCGAGCAGTCTTCTCCTTCCTCCCTGCTGTCGGGGAAGATCGGAGATTTTCTTATGCCTCTCTTCCCCTCTCTTTTCCCTCCCCTTTTCTTTTCTTTTTTCTTTTCTTTTCTTTTCTTTTCTTTTCTTTTCTTTTCTTTCTTCTTTTCTGATTCTTAAAGTACTATGCAAAGGGCTGCATTCTGGTAATTCATTTTTTCAGGTTTAATCTTTATTTTAATAAATATTTTTAAATGAAAAGTATTTAAGTTGGAGTTATGACCTGAGTGGCTGTGAAAATTCTGCTTCCACACATGCCCTCTGTGGGGGGCAGATGTTCTAAGAAGGTCACGGTGGGGTGGGGGGCGCCCCAGAGGCTGACAGCACTTCCCTGCCCACAGGGAACTCCCGGGCATAGGAGGTAGGGGTCTCACACCTGCAATGGAAAAATACAGGGCAGTATGCCCCATTGCACGCCTGTAGCGAACGAACCTCATTCCAGTTCTCTGTGAAGGCAGCTAAATTCCCTACCTGCAGGGCCATTCCTGTTCATCTGTTCCATTGCTTAAAAAATGTGTATTTTAGTGTTTTTTTCTCTGGCCTTCTCACCATCCTTCATTGGGCCTCACCTGCTTTTGATCCTGGATAAGTATTTTTTTTTTCCTGGATAAGTATTTTAATGGTGTGGTAAGAAATAGAGTTGGTTCAGAACTTGGCACTAAGTTCCAATTTCCTGGTTTCAACATAGGAATCTCAGCAGTTAGCAGTTTGGGTTTGGGATGAGGGAGGGTCTCGAAGAAAAACCCAATATTTAAATATATTTAAGTTGCCTTTTTTTTTTTTTAAGATTTTATTTATTTATTTGACAGAGCATAAGCAGAGGGAGAAGTAGGCAGAGGGAGAGGGAGAAGCGGGCTCCCCGCAGAGCAAGGAGCCTGATGTGGGGCTTGATCCCAGGACCCTGAGATCATGACCCGAGCCGAAGGCAGACGCTTAACCGACCGAGCCACCCAGGTGCCCCTAAGTTGCCTTTCTTCAACACAGGGCACTCCTGACCAAGTCTCCATGTGTGGCCGTGTCCCTGGCTTCGAGGTTATCCATTCAGGCCTCCTGCTGTCCCCGCACCGGGTTGGGAAAGAAAAATGCAGCGTAGCCACTGGAGTAGATGTGTTCTCGCTCCTAGCAAAAGTTAGGGAATGGCGGTGAGCAGGTGCAGGCTGGTGAGGGCCTCCGTCCCCTGGCGTGCCCGGAGCTTTGCCAGTAGAGAGGGAACTCTGGGTCTGAGGAGAGGGATTTGGAGGCGCAGGATTGTAGGATCTCCTCCGGGCCCTGGCACTCTGATAGCAGACTGTCTCCATAGCTCTTTCAGGGCTGTCCCTGTTGATACGCTATAGGCAAGGATGATTTTAGGGCTATCCAGATGCCTCGCCTGCTCCCCAGCTTGGTGGCTGGCTTAGCAGCCTGACAGCCATGGCTGTCTTGCCTTGTTTGCGCAAACACCTACGGCAGAATAGTAGGGTCACTGGGGAAGCCCTTCCTCTGACAGCCGCTCTTTGACCCCACTTTGAGAATTCTCACGGTGCACAGCATGGGTATCCTGAGTTGTGTTGCCTGCCCTGCTCACCCCCTTTGCCACCCAACAGTCCTGCCGGATGTGCCTATCCTTTTATAGCGCTGGGAGGCAGTGCTCTTGCCATCCTGTATCCCAAAGATGAGGCTGTGACGTTGTCTGGGCAAGCTTTATGGGGAGGGCCAACGGGCTCTTCCTGCCATGGGCAGGGTATTGGGAAGGCTGCCTACTCCACAGCTCCTCTGACCACTATCCTAGAACCTTCTCCCCACTCTACCTCCAAGGCACTGACCTCAGACTGAAGTCTTTCCCGCTTACCCTCCATAACATCACCCACTATTGGGCTATTGAAAGCATTAATACTTGGAGATAAGGTGCTAGCCTATAGGGATTCCTTATCTCAGCCCCATTTCTTTTGTGAAGCCCCGGGAAGGCAAACATCCTTCTCATCCCACCTTCTGGAGCCTGAGCCAGGTGTCCCCCAGGGCAGGGGAGCATGTGAGCCATCCTGGGGCTAGAAGCCGGTTCTCCCACATTCCAGGGTGAGTGACTGGGTGGAGGGTGTGCCCGCCTCAGGCTCCTTGGGGGAGGCCCCCTGAAGGGCTGGGGAAAATCCTACCGCCAGAGCCCCAGGCTTTCCTGCCACCCCAGTGGAGGGGGCCCTGGACCCTAAGCCCCTCTCCTAGGGCGCAGCAGTTTCAGGGACAAAGAGAAGATTGTGGGAGATGGCCTTCTTAGTCATCTGGCTCTAGAGAGAAGGGGGCAGCTCTGGAGGGGGGGTCACCGTGTGAGGAGCCATTTCGCCCACCGAGGCTAAGCTTGGCCATGAACCACGCAGGGTTGTAGCATTAACAAAGGAGGTAGGGAAAGAGACACTCAAATCCTACATCTTCGATGCATAAAAAACTAGATCTGGAAGAGATCTTAGGGATTATTAAGTCCAAACAACCTTATTTTTACCAATGGGAAAACAAGCAGAATCACGTAGCTGGGGAGTCACCTGGGAGTCACCTGGGTGTCCTGCCTCCTCCCCCCAACCTCTGCTGCCCATGCTCAGGGTCTCCAGTGGGCTCTGCGTTCATAGACGGGACCACAGACACAAAGGACTCACTGTGCCCATGGGGAGGGCGAGGGGCTGCCCGAGCCTCTGAGCCACTGAGCCGGAGGACCCTGAAGCCAGGCTGAGCCTGCTATGGGGAAAGAGCACCAGCCCCACCACTTTAACCAGCTCCGTGTGGCCTGCGCAAGACACAAAACCCCTCTGAGCTAGGATGCTCTCAGCTTTAAAATGGAGACAATCCTACATTCCTTAGCATTTTTGTGAGTTTTAAGTGGAGACTACGTTACAAGTGCCTGGTAAATGGTAAATACTGAGCGTTCCATTTTCTTCGTGGAATGCTAGGACCCAGGGAGGCAGGCTTCTGGCCACTAGAGGGTAGCAGACAGGTACGGGTCAATTGGGCCGAGGGCGGGGAGACTAGAAGGGAGACCTGACGGTGCGCGGGATAAACACGGCCACGCGGATTCCAGCACCTGCAGGGTCCGAGGGCTCCGGCTGGGGTTGAGGGAGAGCCAGTCTTCTCCAGAAGTGACAGCAGCTTGCAGGGGGTCCGGGTGGGCAAAGCGTGTCAAGACTTTACCACCGAAGTAGATGCCAGCGAGCAGACTACTGGGGACACTGGGAACGCTGGGGCCCTGAGGCTAGGCTGGACGAGCCCATGAATATTGCCTAGTGTCTGGAGAGCCTTCCAGCAGGAATCCCGGGCATTGTCGGAAAATGCCCTCGACCCCACTATCTGCTCTCCCTACGAGGCCCCCTTGCCCTCAGATCTCTGCCCGTTTGGGGACTAGCAGTTCTCCTCCCCAGTTCTACCCTGTTCTCTTCCCCCTGCCAGCCCATCCCCGGCCTGGCCCCCCTGAGGAATTTTCTGCGCCAGTGGGTGGCGGAAAGTACAGGTGCCCACCCCAGCGACTCTCCTGCCACCCGCCCAGGCCAGTGCCCTGTGCCCAACCCCAGAGGGTGCGGGATGACAGACTCTGACAATCATTAAACCAGCCGGGCCTGATTTCCCAGCACTGCCTGCCAGGATCCGGGCCAAGTGGCACAAAATATGCAAATCACCTGGGGCCAGAAGCCCAGTCTAAAGGCCAGGAAATCCCCTCCGTCCAATGAGCCACCAGCTCAGGTTACCGCCGGGTGCACTATAAAGCCCTGGGCTCGGGGAGGAGCTCCCAAACGCCTCTATTTAGGGAGGGTGGGGGAGCGCGGGCCAGACGCCTCAGAGCTACCTGGCGCAGCTTTTGGCCTCCTGGATTTCTTGCCTGCCTACTGTCCCTTAATCCTGCCTGCCTGCCACACCCACACTCCACCAGTCAGGTAGGACCCCCCACCTGTCATATTGCCCAGCCTGGGCCCTGGAAAACGGAGAGGGGTCGAGGGGATGTGTGGTTTCTAAACCCACCCACTGCAGCTGCGCACTGTAGGGCCCCTGAGCAGGAGTGTCGGGCAGTGGGAGTGCCCTGAAGGTAGCAGAGGCACTGTCTCTGGGAGGGACAGAGTGGCCCTAACCCTGCCAGTCCCACCCAAGGGCCCAGGGGGGCTGAGGAGGGGGCCCATAGGAGGCCTGGTGCCCGCAGCAGGCTCCGAGGTCTTGGAGCCCTCCATGAAGGGAGGGCGTCCAAAGAGATATTGACCTTCACCGCCCCCCCCTTGGGGCTCCTCCTGCCCCAGGCTTGGATGGAACAGGAGAGCCAGAGGATAAGGGGAGGACCCTGGCCCTCACCAGCCTTGGCCTCTCTCTCCCTAGGTAGCCTCATGGCTGCAACCTGTGAGATTAGCAACGTCTTTAGCAACTACTTCAGTACTATGTACAGCTCAGAAGAGCCCGCTCTGACTTCCATCCCCCCTGCCGCTACCTTTGGGGCTGATGACCTGGTGCTGACCCTGAGTAACCCCCAGATGCCACTGGAGGGCACAGGTGGGTCTCAGCAGATGGGATGGGGTGTTTGGGGGAGGGAGAGACATCCCTCTAAGAGTCTGTTAGATAAATGGGGAAATCAGGCAGGGAGGAGGGTCCCCCCAGCAAATTCCAGCACTAGGGGCTGGGGTGACTTGTAAGAGGCTGAGGTATTGGGGTTGAGGGGCAGCGACCGACTAAGTGAGGTGCTGGGCGAAGGTGTTGTGAATGCCGCCCCCTGCCCCTCCTCCTGGGAGGGTCTCTGAGACGTGGGGGTGGAGGGGTGGGGGGGGGATGCACACAGAAGCCCAAATGGGCGCCAGAAATGGGCGGTAAGGGTCCGGGTGGCTCAAGCTGACCTGACGCTGTGCCCTGTCCCTTGTAGAGAAGGCCAGCTGGTTGGGGAAGCAGCCCCAGTTCTGGTCAAAGGCCCAGGTTCTGGACTGGATCAGCTACCAAGTGGAGAAGAACAAATACGACGCGAGTTCCATTGACTTCTCGCGGTGTGACATGGACGGGGCCACGCTCTGCAACTGTGCCCCCGAGGAGCTGCGCCTAGTCTTCGGGCCTCTGGGGGACCAACTCTATTCCCAGCTGTGGGACCTCAGTGAGTCCGGGCCGCTGGTGCCCCCGGGAGCCCAGGGCTGGAGGGGGAGGCCTCCCTCTCAGCTGGGGAGGCTGGCCTAGGGACCGGCCCACACCCCGAGCTGAGGCCAGCAGAGCTGTGGGAAGGACCTGCAGCCCCAGGCCAGTGGACACAGACCGCGAAGGAAGCCCTGAGGGGAGAGGGGAGTGGGACGCCTGCCTGGGCGCTGACCCCTCCTCCCTTCCCAATCAGCTTCCAGCTTTCCTGACGAACTCAGCTGGATCATTGAGCTGCTGGAGAAGGACAGCATGGCCTTCCAGGAGACCCTGGGCCCCTTTGGTGAGAATTCATTTTCTCGATCGTCCCCTAGCTTGTCCTATCCCATCTCAGCCTCTACCCAGAGCGCTAGAGCTGACCCTCGGTTGCCAGACTTCTGTCTCCCCCGGCTAGAAAAACAGCAGCTCATTGGACCTCTGGGTGGCCTAGTGTCCCTGCCTGTTCCTCTGAATCCTGTCTGAACCCTAACTCCTCTTCCCAGACCAGGGAAGCCCCTTCAGCCAAGAGATGCTGGAGGAGTGCCGGCAGGCCGGCCCCTACTTCCCTGGCAGCTACGGCCCAGGAGCCCCCTCCCCCGGCAGCTCCGATGTCTCCACCGCAGGTGAGCACCCTCGTCCAGGCCACAGCCTCCCTTTCCCCAAAGCATCCTGCAGCCCTTGGTTACTGCACTAGAGCCCAGGCTTCCTGCAAGGAACAGGAGCGGGCTGGGCAGCGACCCCCCAGAAAGTATGGACTCACTCTGCCCCCACCTCCCACCCCCCCCAGGGACTGGTACTTCCCAGAGTCCCCACTCCTCAGACTCCGGTGCAAGTGACGTGGACCTGGATCCCAGTGACAGCAAGCTCTTCTCTAGGGGTGAGTGGGGGTCTCAGTGGGCAGTGCCCATGGGGCTGATCCTTCCCCTCATCCCTGCTCGCCTGCAGGGTTTCCCTCCTGTACAGGAGCTGCCCCCTCAAGCCCCCCATTCCTTTCCCTCCTGACCTTGCACCTCCCCTGTCTTAGACGGCTTTCCTGACTATAAGAAGGGGGATCCTAAGCACGGGAAGCGGAAACGGGGTCGGCCTCGAAAGCTGAGCAAAGAGTCTCGGGAGTGTCTGGAGGGCAAGAAGAGCAAGCATGGTGAGCTCCTGGGGTCTCTCCCCCCTTTGCTCTGAGGCCTGGGGGGTGGCAGGCGGCAGGTTCGCTGTGGCACCACTGGGGCTTCTTTCTCCTGTGGTCGCCGGCTGTCCACATCGCTCCCCCTCCCGCCATCACGGCTGTGCACGGGCCCCAAGGCTGTGTGACACTGGTCACCACCTCCTTGCAGAGCCTAGGTCAGTGGTCCTGGAGAGGAGGGGAAACTGAGGCCCCTGGAAGCAGGCCCGTGGGACTAGAGCCCAGGTTCCCAACTCACCCACTCCAGTTCTCTCGGCACTTGCTCTGTCCTGCCTGCTGGGACGCCCTCGGCGGTGTGAGGGGGCAGCTGGTGGGTGCTGGGAGGGCCCGCGGGGCCACAGGGGGCTCAGGCAGAGGACCATGCCCTGCTGCAGGCCTCAGGCCCTGGTGTTGGTTGTTTTCACGGTGGCGCCCACCGAACCATGGGCCCCTTCAGGCGGTAGCCCGTCTCGATCACTCTCAAATCCCAGCCAGACAGAGCATCAATATTTGAGTGCATAAGACATCTGTGCTGCATGAGAGGCAGTCCCCGTCTGGTGGGGGAGGCGGGAGGGAGCAGCCCTGACAGGGCGCGGCCATCCGTGGGCGGTGTGCTGGGCCGGGCGGGGCCCTCTGGCCTCGGAAGAGAGGGGCTACCCTGGCCTCTGACCGAAGCCTCTGGCCCTGCAGCCCCCAGAGGTACCCACCTGTGGGAGTTTATCCGGGATATCCTCATCCACCCGGAACTCAATGAAGGCCTCATGAAGTGGGAGAACCGGCAAGAGGGTGTCTTCAAGTTCCTGCGGTCAGAGGCTGTGGCCCAGCTTTGGGGCCAAAAGAAGAAGAATAGCAGCATGACCTACGAGAAGCTGAGCAGAGCCATGAGGTGAGCAGGTGCCCGGGGTCCTGAGGGTGCTGCCGTGGACAGCTTGTCCCCGCTCCCACGGCTCTCTCTGACCACCACCCTCCTGACAGGTTTGAGTCCTGTAGAGTGAGGATAATAGTGTCTGCGCACTTCGTGGATTAAAGGATGATGTGGAGAAAGCAGTAGGTCAGCATAGCAAACACAGCAAACTCTCTGGCAACATGTCTTTGCATTATCTGCAAGGCTTGTCCTGAGAAAAGTTCTTAGTGGTGAAAAGAGCTTGAGCCAAGGCCTCCACCAAGACCTGGCTCTCCCCCTATTGAATCAATTAGATTGCTTGTCTGGACCTCAGTCTCCCCCTGAACGATCACTAAGGTCCCTTCCAGCCCTAAAATCACGTGGTTTCATGATGAGCCCCAGGACAGAGGCATGGGTAGTACCAGGGACTGTGGACACCATTCTAGGCCGGAGTGCCATTATGGGGAATGGCAGACACAGATCTTCCTTGCCGTAGGGGAGAAGAAAGCTGCAGGAAGTGGGTCAGGCTCAGGCTGGAACCCAGTGGGCCAGGCCCCGCGAGGATATCGGGGCCGGGGGGGGCATCAGCAGTCCAGGCTGCTCCCTACCTGCGCCCGTCTGACCATCCTTGTCCGCACCCAGGTACTACTACAAACGGGAGATACTGGAGCGGGTGGATGGCCGGCGGCTGGTCTACAAGTTCGGCAAAAACTCCAGCGGCTGGAAGGAGGAAGAGGTTGCCGGGAGTCGGAACTGAGGGTCCGAACGGGACCCAGGACCAAACGCACGGACTTGAGGCCTGCAGCCCCTCCTGGGAGGACCGCCAGGCCCCCCACCATTCAGGCAGGCTGGGGCCGTGCCATGGAGAGAAGCTGAGGTTCGGGTTCCTTGTTCAGCCGCCATCCTGGGATGTGGGGCTTGTGGCCTCTCCTCTCTGCCCTCCTCCTGGAATTACAAGCCCTGGGGTTTGAGGTGACCGGTCGGCTGACCACAGCTGCCAGCATCGTTCCTCTTACCTGATGCCTCCCAGACCCAACCCAGACAGCAGCTACAGACGATGCCTTCCGCCTCCAGATGCCTGGCCTGAGCCAAGGAGGCCAGGGGGAGCAGCAGCAGGGGTGCTGCGAGAGAGGGGGCAGGACGGGGTCCTCCTGCCCCCTGCTTTCCGGACCGGCTTCCACCTCAGTGCATGGACTCCGCAGGCAGGGGTCAGAGCACTCCGTAATTTATGTGCTATAAATACGTCAGATGTACATAGAGATCTATTTTTTCTAAGACATTCCCCTCCCCGCTCCTCTCCCACCATGTGTTCGTGGTCAGACTGACCGTTCTAGGCCCTCGGCTGGGCCAGTGAGGGGCGGGGAGATGCCGGGACCCTCAGACTGGGGCTCCTGGCTCCTTTCTCCCGTGAATGGAAGCAGAGACCTCCAATAAAGTGTCTTCTGCGCTTTTTCTAACCTTTGTCTTAGCTACCTGCATACTGAAATTTGGGCCTCTGGAGTGGATGAGGCCCTGGGGTTGGAGGAGGGGCCGGGGCAGGAGGTTTACCGGGCTGGGGGTGAAGGCAGAGGCAGGCCTGCAGGGTAGGGACAGGTGTCCTAGAGCAGGAGGGCTCCGTTTACAGACAAGCCGCCCCGGGGCGGGGGAGGGGAGGCTGGAGGGCAAGCAAAGGAAACAAGGTGAGACTGAAAGCTTCCCAGGCTCCGTGCAAGCAAGGGCATGAGCTCGGCCAGCCAGACACTGGGCCAGCCCGGCTGCCGCCACACATTCGCGCGGTGACCTTGGCCAAGTCAGCCCTCTGGGCCTGCTTCCTTGCTGAAAGGCTGGGGTTTGGATTCAACGCTCTCTAAGGAGTCTAGAATTACGTATCGAGCCTTATGGGATAGATGCTTCAGATTCCAACCATGTTGGTCCCAAACAGAGAAAACAAAATGGAGAGGAGTACTTGATAAGAAAGAAGGGGGGAAGGAATAAACATTTGCCAGCCTCGTGTACGCCAGGCACTGTGCCAGATAGCCCCTCAGCCCACCTGATCCTCTCCCAAAAAGAGAGAGAGATTTATCCCTCCCATTTTACAGATGCAGAAAGTGAGGTTCAGTAGGGCCAGCAACTCAGCCAAGGCCCCTAGGGCAGCACCTTGGTGCTCAGTAGCTTTTACCCTGGGGGTGTCCCCAGGGTTAGGGCTCTTCTGACTTAATCCTCAGTACATTCCAGAACTATTGCTCTGTCTCCACAGTGATATTGCAGCCAGGTTCTAAGAGAGGATTTTACTACGTATGGTTCCTCATGAAGAATATCTTCCAGTGGAAAGCTCCTTAAGTTTGAGGCTTCAAATTCCAGAGAGCACATTAAAAAGGCATTTTGTAAGTTTAAAATGCTGTTTAGTTGTCTTGGAAATACCAGATTATTCACTGAAGGCTGTGGGTAAGGAAGGGAGCTTAGAAAACCAGACGTGTGGAAGTGGGCCTTGCTCTGGAGAAATAAGGAATAGTAAAAAGGAAAGTCGGGAAGTTGGTTGGAGAGGCTAGGGCGGTCATGAAAGAAGCTAGAATCTTCTGCAGCCATTTTGGACAAAGTATTCCTATGACTGCACAAGCAGGTTAGTCAAAGTGTGTAAGGGGAAGGGTTAGCCTCAAACAGCCCTGGTCTCTGTGCCGGTCAGGCCACCTCTCGGCTGCGGAGCCTTTGGCAACTTAGCCTAAGAATGACCTCATTTCTTAGAAATGAAGAGGTGCTAGGCACAGCTAATTTTTCTTTCTTTTTTTTTAAGATTTTATTTATTTATTTGACAGAGCGAGAGAGCACAAGCAGGGGGAACAGTAGAGGGAGAGAGAGAAGCAGGTCTCCTGCCAAGCAGGGAGGCCGATGGGGGGCTCGATCCCAGGACCCTGAGATCATGACCTGAGCTGAAGGCAGACGCTTAACCATCTGAGCCACCCAGGCGCCCCAGCACCACTAATTTTTCGGCCCGTGTTATCTTGGGGGGTCTTCATACCCTAAAGAGGTGACCGTTGTCGCTGGAGTTGCCTAGCCAGGAGTGCAGGACGAACCTTAGGAACTCGGAGCACACTGCCCTGCTCCCCAGTGTCTTCATTTCTAAAACAGAGTCACTGGCCTTGGGTGCCCACCCGACGGTCTGAGTGGGGGAGGGGAGCTGGGACCCTGGGGCTGAGCCCCTTTGTCCTCTGCTGAAGGGCTGGGAGGCGGCTCTGGGCCCAGCACTACACTCTGACCTTTGTCCTGCCATTTTCCATTTATGAGGTGCTTTCCTCATCCCATTATCTCATTACATCCACACCATAACCCTTTGAGGAGACTGGGCGTCCCCATGTCCCTGGTGAGGCTAGTGGCTGGTCCAAGGTCACCCCCGCCAGGTGAGCGGGGGGCCAGATCCGAGGGCTCCTGCTTCTGCGGGAGCCCAGGCGGCAGTACCCCCATGCTGCAGCTCTGGGAGGGGAGCCCGAAGGGCGCCTGGGCAGCCCTGGCGCTGGGGAGGCAGGGAGGGCTCCTCTGGTCCCAGCGAGCGACATGTTTCTTACTCAAGTTGTCTTTCGCCCCAACACTGCTCTCCAGCCTCTTCCCCCTCAGGACGCTGCAGAGCCCAAGGCTGGCCTTTCTCGGTCCCCTCCTCGTGTCTTCTCTGTCAGGTGTCAGCCACCCTTACCCCCAGCTCTCACCGGCTCTGGAACCACTGAGCTGACCCCGCCCAGAGATGGGCCCTGCCTCCGCCCAGGGGTGTGCGGCTCCTCGGGTGGGGCTGGGCTGTTTAGGTCGTGCCCCCTGGCTGCTGGTCACCTCTTATCTGCTTCTGTGGGATCGGGTGGGTGTGCTGCGGGGCAGGTCGGAGGGAGGTCACCCCTCCCATGTTTGGGTGTGCCTGCGGGGCGGGCTTTGGCCCTGGGCCTCCCCGAGAGAGGGCCCAGATTCTCCCCCCCCAACACCAGTTCTGGGGACGTCTAACTTTCCCTGCCCTGCTGGGAAAAGTGGGTAAAGTTGTAGTTTCGTGAAGGGTTTATTTCAGTCTGCTCTTTCAACTCCAGTTCTCTCTCCCCCGCGGGCTGCGAGGGCCTCCGGGACCGCGGCTCACTCATCTCAGCACCTTGCACAGCACCTGACACACAGAAGGTGCTCAATAAATATTTGTTAAACTGGCCGGTGACTCTCCCTGCCTCTCCCTGCCCCGGCCACCACCTCCCCCTCTGCACACACTGTCATAGACTCGCACACACACTCACAGATACCACACAGGTGCTCACACACGCTCATACACACTTGCACACCCCCACCCCACACACATTCTCACACACTCCGCGGTCGTGCACAGCCACACCACTCCCATACGTGCACACACACACATCCCGTCACACACTCCCTCCACACATCACACACACTCACACATCACAGTCACACACACTCACACATTATAGTCACACTCACACTGCCACACATATCACACACTCATACATTAGTCACACACACACGTCAGTCCACTCACACTCTGCCCATTCACACATTCACACATCACAGTCACACGTTAGTCACACTCACTGACACATGTCAGTCACAATCTCCCACACACATCACACACACACTCACATTGACACATGTCAGTCACACTCACACACACAGCCTCAACCTCCCCCCAGTAGATTAAACCCCAGGCTCGCCCTGCCTGAGCCCTGTGGTTACATTGCTCATCTCTTCCCTCAGGTACAACTGAGGACCCCCCTCTATTCTTTACAGAGGGAGAGAGGGAGAAGGAGAGAGAGAGCTCGCAGGGGACGGGGGGGGGGGGGGGGGGGAGAGAATCTTAAGCAGGCCCTACGCCCAGCGCCGAGCATAACTTGAGGCTCAATCTCATGACCTGAGCTGAAATCAAAAGTCGGATGTTTAACCGACTGAGCCACCCAGATGCCCCAACTGACCCCCTTTCTGATTCATTTCCTGCCATCCCTTCTGCCCTCTCCCCTCACCAGGTGGGCTCAGACCTTCCCTACAGTTAGGACCAGTTGCATAATTTGCAGGGCCCAGGGCAAAATGAAAACTTGGGCCCTTGTTGGGGCGCTGGGTGGCTCAGTCGGTGAAGCGTCTGCCTTCAGCTCCGGTCATGATCCTGGGGTCCTGGAGTGGAGCCCCGTGTGGGGCTCCTTGCTCAGCAGGGAGTCTGCTTGACCCTCCCTCTCCCCATGTGCGTGCGCAGGAGCTCTTTCTCTCTCATATAAATAAAATCTTAAAAAAAAAAAAGAAATCAGAAGGTCTGGCAGAACTGAGCCAGCTCGCGCACTGGACCACTAGATGCAGAAGCAAGATCATGTTGTCCCCTGTATATTCTCAAGTTCACCCCTCTGGCCACCACAAAAAAATCTATGTAGCCCCAGAGGCAGGAAGTCTTCAACCCCTGGTTGAAAATATCTATGCCTAGCCCCCTACCTACTGCTCCCAGACTAGGAGCTCATTCTGTACCCCCTCTACTTGGCAAAATGATGGTTTGTTGAGGATATCAGTAAGTAAATGCATGATGGCGGGTGGGAGGGAGGTGTGGGGAGTAGTCATGCTCACAAGTATGGAAACCCGGGGCACCTGGGTGGCTCAGTCGGTTAAGCATCTGACTCTTGATTTCGGCTCAGGTCAAGATCTCAGAGTCGTGGGCTCCGCCCTCGGCATGGAGTCTGCTTGAGATTCTCTCTTTCCTTCTGCCGCTGCCCCTCCCCCCATCCTCTCATGCTCTCTATCTCTCAAAATAAATAAAATCTTTAAAAACAAAAACTAGGGGCACCTGGGTGGCTCAGATGGTCAAGTGTCTGCCTTCAGCTCAGGTCATGATCCTGGAGTCCTAGGATCGAGTCCCGCATCGGGCTCCCTGCTCCTTGGGAGCTTGCTTCTCCCTCTGCCTCTCTCCCTCCCTCTCTCTCTCTCTCTGTCTTTCATGAATAAATAAATAGAATCTTTAAAATAAATAAATAAATAAATAAAAATAAAAACAAAAACTAGTATAGAAACCCAGCCAGCTCCTTCTACAATAAGGGCCTGGGATGGGGACCAGAGCCCTCTGATACTCACTAGGAAGTATCACACTTCCTCACCTCCAAGAATATTTTTAGTCCAGTTCAGTGCATGGCATATAATGGGCACTCATGTGCACTGAATATCAGCACAGACCTTCCGAGCTGGGCATGGCTGCTTAACTCAGAGTGCCCAAAGATACCAGTCCTGCCCAGCAAACTTGGCCCATCCAGGTAGCTCTCTCCCTGCTCCCTGAGGGAGAAGGAGAGTTGGCATAACCTCATTCATCTATGCAGTAGTTCTTTGTATAGTATTTCTTCCCTTAACCCACTTTTCAGGAGGAAGTGTCCTAAGTTAGTCCCTACATCATAATCATCTACCAGTGATTTATAGAATAGAACACAAGATCCAAATGAACAAGCCCCATTTTATAGGTGAAGGAGCTGAGG